AAGATCGAAGCCTCCTATTTACGATAAGCGCCCCAAAACACTCGATGTACGATTTTTTCGCGTGATTTTACTAAATGTCAGACGAACACGACACGATTTCTTGAATTTTCGTCGCCTGAGCTTAATATGTTGTAACAAAGTTGAATAAAATGGCGAAAAAGAAAAGCCTCGAAATGATTTTCGAAAGTCGCAAAGAGGACGTTTCAATCTCAAGATCTATTGTAGATTCAGTCATGAAAAAATTTTTCAATATTTTTACGCACTATGACAATTATATAATTTATACGTGAAATATCATTAATAGAATTTTCGGAGGAAGAGTGTCTACGTTTACCCACTTACGTGATAAAAAACATTTCAGAATAAAATGCGAAATTGATGCATTTTGAAAGTAAGGGTTTCATGCTTTAAAATAAATCCAAGTTTATCATCTTATTAGATTTTGTGTAGGAAGTAATTGCTTGAAATGTTACTTTGATTGGAAATGTTGGGAATGTTAAAATTATACATTCTTTAGAGAAAGAAAGTTAAGGTTAAGTTCAAGAGATTAAAATTGTATTTTAAGGACGAATTTATGTTATATTCTGCACGTAAGTTCATGCTGCTGTGAATGTGATGAAAGATTTAAAGAGATTTACTTTAATACTAACATTTATTAACGAATAATTCTTTTAGAAAAACACTTGCAACGATCACTTTTCTTCGTTATTATTATTACACGATGCAAGATGACAGTAAGTAAAAAATCGAATTAAAAGTTGTAATCTGTTTGTATTGAATGCATTCTTAATTTATTACTTGCTCCTTATTTGATATTAAATTTCTCCATGACAATTTTCACAATTACCAGAGGGATTAAAATGTAAAACGAAGAAATAAAGGATAAAAAAAAAATTAGGATAAAAAAAAAAAATCTCTTGAGGCAGGATTTTTTTCGTAATAATTTTCTTTGTTAAACAATTAATTTTCCACTTTTTAAGTGGAACAGGATTCAACCACAAAGTGCGGGGAAATCTGCGCAGAATTTTAAATGGCATCGAAAATATGGTTGTAACGTTGTATCAGTCAACTTAATCGACAGATGTCCAGGGAGGTAATAACTAGTCACACAGTATCCTTCGAAAAGATGTTGCAACGTCTATGATACGTATCTCTATAATTGCACATTACGATGTTCTTCGATATAAAAAGCTAATAAGCATCGACGAATATGGACGAGGGGATTCAATTGCCATTTGATACTTCCCTGTCTAATAAATTCGTGTTTCATCACGATTCTGATTGAAATACTGAGTAACCTTTAAGCGAAGCTTTCTTTCCATTAACAAGAAATTCTTAAAGTCTCTCTTACGGATACGAAATACACTCTCTGTACAAAAATTATGCCGATTGATCTAAATTGCGGCAATAAAAATTAAAACTATTTGCAAGAGTTATAGTAATATGATTCTAATATTTATACAAGGTAAAAATATTATATAATAGTATTATACTTATAGTAATATTAGGTATAATATAAGGGTGTATAAATATCAGTGATATAATTCTAATATAATTATGTTAAATATGATGATATTATGTTATATTATATATTATATATGATGATATTATGTTAAAATGTCGGAATAACGTGTACAAGCGGGCAAATGATGATTCCTCACAAAAAAAAATGAAAAAATTTATAAGAAAATTGCTTGATCTAAGACTTCGTTTTCAAGAAAATCGAGTTTTGAATCGACTTATCAAGTAGACTTGAAGTGAATTCTAGACATGATGTAAAAGAATAATTTACGGGAGATTATTTTACAAGCGAAGATAAATAAATAGCGTGGAACAAAATTTCTGTGAATCTTTGGTTTTAAGAGAATCGAATTTGAAAATTTATCACGAATTATTCAGCCTATTAAAAATGAAGCTGTAAATGAAAATATTTTATTCTATATTCTTTACTTATTTCTGCACTAATCACCTGTTAATTATTCCTTTCTGTTAGAATTAATAGAATTAATAGAATTAATACTCGTATCAAATTCTAACATGCTCGAACAAACATACGCTTTTTTAAATATATTGTTTCAACAAATAGCTTTTCTTGGAAAATGGTGTATACAATTAAATTCGTCACTAAAAAAACGCTAATTTCATCAGTTTACACAATAACTATATCTCCGATAATTTCCGAGATATTTGCCGAAATAAATTCCAGAGCTCCAACAACTTTGAAGTTAGTTTACACCCTTCAACATGGACGATTGCCGATCAAAAGAAAAAAAAAAATGTGTAAAATATTTTCTCGAAAACTGCATTTTAAGCCAAAATTTATCAAAATCGTTGATTGACATTTCGGTGTACCTCTTGCTCGTACTTTTCCCCAGTAGTTCATGGGTACTCTCTTATGTATTTTTTGTTTTATTTTCGGGGCTGTTTGTTTCCAGCTTGAGCATATAACTTGGTGTTGCTTCGGTTTTGAAATTCGTAACAATTTCTTCCAGTTGTTCGTAACAATTTTTTCAGTTGTTCAACAATTGTTCTTTCTACTTCCTCTGTTCTTAATCCTGATTTCTATATATTTCCATGTTTTCACAGAGATGTGGCATCTAGTGTCGCTTTGAGGAGCGAGCTCTATCAGCAAATATTTCAGATCGATTCCTATTTTTCCCACTCGCTCAACTTGTGTCGAAGTAATTTAACTGTAATCCCACTCCCGTTCGTGAGAGAAGTAAATGTCGCGTACAACGTATGTACGTAGAATTTTTAATAGATAGACAAACACAGATTTTTTTTTATTGTCTATCTAGAGAAACCAGACGTCCAGATCCTAGATCTATCAAGGATGCAGGGTTTACAGTTAACGTCCGCCGCGCCGTTGGAAAATGTTAATTTATCCGCGAACCGGATACCAGCGCCCCGGTACCGGCGGCGATAAACGAAGGCGAAGCAGTTCACAATGAAAGTTTCTACGGATAATAATGGAGCCGGTGTCGATTCCGAGCCGTGTGGTATGCCGGGCGTGGCCACTCGCTCGAATATTTAGCGGAGCGGTGCATACAGGCACCGGGATAACAGCGAAGGAAAGTCCCGATAAAAGATAAACCTATCTGCGTAATGGTGTCCGCGACAATGAAAAATGCTGGGCCAACCACCGAGCCGTGCTCAGTCGCGTGACGGAATCTAGAGAGTGAAAAGGAACTATGCCCATGTTCCGTCATGTTCTTCTCGAGACCCACCAGCTATAGAGCAGATCTCTTAGTTTCTTTTGGTTTTCGTCATCTAAATTCGAGTCACTCTGTATAGTAAAAATTCAGAAATTAACACTAAACGTAAACGACATTTTACATGTACCTATGTTACCATAGCGGGGTCAAATGACCCCTCGCGGTACATAAGGTATGCAAAGAATTTTTTCTCGGTAAAATATAAGCTAAGAGAAAAACAGAAAACGAGAAATTGATAATAATCAGATAATATAAGAATTTACAAAAAGTCAGATTAGCGAAAGAA